CTTTATGTTTAGGTTAGGTGCTATGATGGTATGAGGGTTAGTATGTCTTGGCTACTTTAGAAGATTGCTCTACTGAGGGGGGATACTAACAGGCGATTAGATTAGGGTGTTGGTCGCAGCTAGGTACTTAGGAGCCCTATAGACAGCCTTGAGACATTCACCTATTTGCATTTAGATAATTACACGTAATAGAAGAAGTAATGCTTGGGATGAAAGTTGGGGGGTAGGGGAAGGAAGGTGCTCTTAAAAAGAAAGAAGGAGAGAGAGAGAGATAGATTAGAGGAGAATGAAAAGAACAATAAGACTTGAAACGGGAAAGAAAGAAGGAAGGAAAAGGGGAGAGAGGGACAGAGAGAGAAGCAGAAAAAAAAAAAGACAAATTGAAGTCTTAGAGATCCATTTTCTTCTCTTCCAGTAGACTGAGCTGTGCCCTCCGAGCAGAGCTTCTGCCCTCTACCTGCCAATAGCAATCCCTGTAAGGCGGCTCCTGGGAGTCTCTCAGTCTTGTCAGTCCAGAGCCGTTTCACTTCTCCGGCCCTTCCCCCCCTTCCTCCTGTCAGCCGGCCAGCCAGGTCCTGTTCACCAGAAGTGGTTCCCCAGAGATCTAGTTACACTTGCAGAACCACAGCGCGTCCCATTTAAGCCCCAGTGCTGTGGAAACTGGCGGCTAAGACCTTGGGAGTCGCCGCTGGTGATATGGGGGATTGGGGGTCGGGGATCCCCTCTGCTTCCCTACAGACACGCCCCCAGAGAGATCCCTGAAGTTTCCTGGCTGCTTGTATCTGGATGGGGCGGGAGTCACACACCTGCTAAAGTGGATTCTGCTGGGAAGGAATTCTGTCAGCTGAACTCCCATGACCTCACCTCTCTGCTATGGTGGGCCCCAGGCTCCTTGCGGGAGTGTCCGAAGGGAGGGGTGGGACTGGTCCCTCCCAGTTGGCCTCAGCTCCCAGATCGCTATTTCATGAAGGCTTGGCTAAAACCTCTTCCTGCCAAGCTGTGTCTTGGAGGCTAGCGGGACCCAGTCACATTGGCTGCGAGCGGGCGGGCGGGCACCCGTGCCGTGGCGCGGACAGCAGCTGGCGGATCTGGACCTCTGTGTCTTGTGGCGTGGATTCGCTCGTCTGGGGCAAACTGTCACTTCAGAAAATCCTAGTGGCTCCCGGCTGGTCTCTCTTCAGTGGAATTTTGCTAGGAGATTCTCCGTTGGTAGAATCTAAGGGTTATCTATGCATCTTTCTGACCCCATCCCTGAGGGGGTATTGAAAGTGCTGCTTCTCCGCCCGCCGCCATGTTGTTCGATTTCCTCTGATTTAAAGTGGGGCCTAGATCATAATTTTGTYTGTTTACTTTTTTTAATTACTTTTTTAATCTGTGGGATGATTTTAATGTACTTGTAGAGTTAAGAACCACTTAAATTGACTGTATCATATTTTAATCTTCATATTTGTATAAAATTAAAACTCATGCAAATATGAGGAAAATAATATTTAGTAGGCAACTGGGAGGGATACTGTTATAAAGTGTCTGCCTTTCATTACTAACATTTTAGAGTCSGACAATGAACATGCATTCTACTAACACTTTCAATTGCTAATAAATAAAAATAGTGCATATCAGTGAAGAGCTTTTTTTGATTTGGAATATTTTAATGTTTTTCTGACTCCCCCCACTTTTAAAATATCAGTGTATGAATTAATTATAATAATAGAAATTTTTAAAATTAACTTTGTTTGACTTGATTTTTTTTCAGACTGACAACCACCTTAAACATTACTTGCATATCATTGAAAATAAACCTCTGTACCCAGTTATCTATGATAGCAATGGTGTCGTCCTTTCAATGCCTCCAATCATCAATGGTGAGTTCCTTCATGAGCATCATGAATTATTGCTGTTTCTTCTTATTCTTTACCATTTTTGTAGATTCTCAGTAACTTGGCTGATCAAATCAAACAACTCAATCTGATAGTCTCAGGTCTTTTGTTGATTTTATTCTAATAGTTCTTTTCATTATTCAATAATRTTTTACTAATGATTTTTATATAATTTATAAATTTGTAAATATTTGTAAATGTATGAGTACTTGTAAATATTTATACACTTATAACTATTTATACACTCATAAATATTTACTGATAACAGTTTCTGGATTTTGTTATATTCTTCCAAAGGATGTTGACATTTTAGTTTTAGTAGTCATTCACTTGGTTAAACTCAGAAGTCAAACTCTGTCTTGCCTACAGTTTTTTAGTTAAAACTACAACTTTTAATCTAAGTTCTACACTCAATTTCTTTTTGAAGGCTYTTTTTATGAGGCAGTTTGAATGTGTTTGCAGAATTTAATGTCTAAGCCATGGATGTTTGACTTTTTGGAGGTGAGAAAGAGGTTTAGCTAATTCACCATGAGAAGGAAAATCCTCTTCTTGAGATCTTGAACTTTAGCAGTTACAGTGGTTACATAGGCCTCAGAGTTAACCACCCAGAGCTTAGCTTTGCTATTTGCTAGCTAATGATCATGGCAAGTTGCTTAATCTCTCTGAATTTTAGTTGTCTTSTCTGTAGTTAGGTCATAGGTTGTGGTAAAGATTAGATAACAGTCTCAATAAAGGTTTGTTATTCTTTTATTGTATTCTCCAACTTGCCATGAGAGTTTAAAATAAAAGTTGTATATCCCCTTATCTCTAAGATGGTAGTTTATATTTTTTTCTAAATTTAAAATGTAGCCTCTGAGCTTTGTAATACAGTTATGTTTTTTAAAATGGTTGTTTTGTTATTGTTTTGTATTCATTGCAGGGAATCATTCCAAAATAACAGTAAATACTAGAAATGTATTTATCGAATGCACAGGAACTGACTTTACTAAGGTAAATAAAACTTCTAATTTTTTTTTTCCCCCAATACTGAGCATTGAATCAAGAGCACTTGACCACTGAGCTGCATTCCCAGCCTATTTTAGTTTTTATTTTGAGACATAGTCTTGCTAAGTTGCCATGTCTGGCCTTGAATTTTTGATCCTCCAACCTCAGCCTCCCAAGTTTCTGGGCTTACAGGTGTGCCCCACCACACCCAGCTAAAATTTCTAATTTTATACCATCAAATAGAATAGATTTTACTTTTAAATCAAGTTGTATGGTAGAAATTAAGATATTTTAAGACATATTTATTTCATGTTTAGAAAACTAGAATATTAAATCAGTGTAAATTCTGTATGTTGTTTATGGTGTTTTCAGTTGACAAATTTTTTTGTTTTTTTTTGGTACCAGGAATTGAACTTAGGGGGTGCTTAACCACTGAGCTACATCCTGAGCCCTTTTTTATATTTTATTTAGAGACAGGATCTCGATGAGTTGCTTAGGGCCTTGATAAGTTGCTGAGGCTGGCTTTGTTTTGTCTTTTTTAAAATTTTTTTTTTAGTTATAGATGGACACAATATCTTTTTTCATTTATTTATTTTTATGAGTGCTGAGGATCGAACCCATGCCTCACCCATGCTAGGAAATTGTTCCATCCCTGAGCTATTGCCTCAGCCTTCCCAGCTGCTGGGATTACAGGTGTATGCCACACTGCCTGGCTGACAACGTTTAATGAGCACTTAATGTCTTCTCAGTGCCAGGGATTTTTAATGAGCACTGAATGTCTTTTCAGTGCCAGGGATTTAAGAATGGGTTACATGTTTTTTGACTTCAAAAAACTAGTCTAATGGGAGAGTCTGCCATATACATGACAACAAAAAAGAGACTAGAATAAGTACCATAACAAGATCAGTAAAAATCATTTATCTTAGTTGGTTTCATTTAAATGCTGAATGATTTCCTATCTTTGTGTACTTGAAAGTTTTCTGTAAAGAAGTTTTAAATTAACAAAGGATTTATGCATACAAAAAATGTAGAAGATGTAGTTTACCAGTTGTTTACTCCCTTTTATTTGCTACCTACTTTGGACTATGTTGGAATGGTTTACTATGAAAGCTCCCCACCCCCAATACTGGGAATTAAACCCAAGTCATCATAGATGCTAGGCAAGTGCTCTACCATTGAGCTACATCCCTAGACCTTTTTATTTTTTAAATAGATTCTCATTAAGTTGCCCAAGATGACCTCAAACTTGCAATTTTCTTTCTTCAGCCTTCCAAGTAGCTGGGATTGTAGGCGTGTGTCACCATTATTTGGGTGACATATATCAGCATAGGGTGAGGGGGCAGTTGAGCAAATTCAGAAAGATAAACTCGAATAACAGAAGGCGGCTGGAGTATAAAGGTAGGGGAGATACCTAGTATTTGTGTGGGTCTTATAGGATTTTGGACATTTTAAGGTATTTCATTTGTAACATTTACCTGTCATATTTGCCTTTAGAATTATTGTCAGGATAATATAAGATTTAACTGTTAAAACATTTTTAAGCCTTTAAGTTATGCATTGACAGACCTTAGGTATTTTTTCTGAAACTTATATAATACTTRAATGTACATAAGAGCAATGCATACATTCCAATTAGGTTAGCATATTTTTTCCTACTTATTTTCAATTAAAAATTATTTAACAAGCTTGTGGTTCTTACTGAGCACCATCTTATGTGTATTGATGCTCACAGTGACAAATGAGATAGGAATTTTTATTGTGTCTACTTAACAGATAAGAAAAGTGAGATGAAGCGAGAATAAAGTAGCTTGTCTGAAGTCACACTGTCAGTCAGTGGTTGAGCCAGTATTCCGGCAGTCTGGTTTGAGAGACTTATGAAATTGAAAACATTTAATCCAGTAATTGGCCATTTATCTCTCTTGAACCTGGTGAACCAAGGTTGGGAGTGGGGAACTAAATGATTTGTCTCGGTCATGGATTGTAACTCTCAAAGAGCTGCGTAAATGCAGAGCACCTGAAGATAAGAATAGCCCTACTCGTAAGTTTTTATTCCATTTTCTTTTTTGGAATGTAAATGTAAAGGTCCATTTTTATGTGATTGAGGGCTAATTATTTTAAATATTCATTACCCTCTGAATGGAGAATATATAAATTACCATAATACTCTTTTTCTTTTGCAGGCAAAAATAGTTCTTGATATTATTGTCACCATGTTCAGTGAATATTGTGAAAATCAATTCATGTAAGTTCATTCAGCATCTTTATTGATGGCTTCTGTTTTGAAGTTGAGTCATTGGGCCTTGCGCTAAATATAATGATGAAAAATATGGTTCCTGTGACTAGAATATAAAATATGTTAAAAGAAATAAGAAATACGGCTAAGTAATGTAGAAAGCAAAAAGTGATAAATACTTGAGACGTTTTGGCGATGTTCTGGTATTTGTAAGGTCAAGTTACTATTGGCTGAAGCAATCTGGGATGGCCTCTTGGAGGCATTGAAATTTAGACTGTATTTAGGGATTACTGAGTCTGAGAATGTGTAGGAGGAACAGCAAGAGGCACAACTAAACAAAGAGAAACATATGAGAGTAAAATATATATGCCATATATTTATCAGTAAAATTACTTTTTCCCAAAGTGTGTGTGTGTGTATTTTTGTACAGGGAATTAAACCCAGGGATGCTTTACCACTGAGCTACATCTCTAGATCCCTGGCCCTTTTTATTTTTTGATTTTGAGACAGGATCTTGCTAGGTTGCTTAGGAACTCCCTAAGTTGCTGAGGTGGGTCTGGAACTTGTGATCCTCCTGCATCAGCCTCCTGAGTCACTGGAATTACAGGCATGTACCTGGCTCAAAGCATATTTTTAATTAAAAAAAAATTAAACCCATATGGCCTTTACTGTGTACAGTATTGATTATAATTCACAGTACATGTATAATTATAAAATGCATGACTGAAATTATATGGGCTGTATTAGTTGTGTGTGTTATTTTCTTTAACTCATTTTGCATTTCATTGGTTGTATCAGTTAACTTTTGTCACGTAACACTACCCTGATGAAACCTGGGATACCAGATTAGCAGAAAGTCCATACAGGATGCATGCTTTGCACTACCAGGAAATAAATTTTGCAAGTGGACACTGCCTACAGGGACATGGGAGCCTTAAGAAATGAAATGGTAGAATAATATATAGGAAGATTAGTTCACACAGTGTTAGAGTATGGTAGATTGAGTGTATTGAGATTGGAGTTGTAGCTCAAATTAAAGATTGATTAACCATGTACATTGCTGGAATTGTGACACATTTTTTCTTTTTAAGCATTTTATTTCTGACATTTGTTTTTTAGGGTTGAAGCAGCTGAGGTAGTTTTTCCTAATGGGAAGTCAAATACTTTTCCAGTAAGTATTTAAGAACTGATGGTGACCACAGTAAAATGGCTCCAGAGTGCTTGTTTTCTGTTGATTTACCCATCSATCCATTCACCCACCCTCCCTCATGCCAGACACTTCACAATGACCCTGTGAGGATGTTTTTTGACTTCAAATAACTAGTCTAATGGGAGAGTGCGATTATTTATGCCTTTTCTAGAAGAAGATCCTGAGATCTTGAGATTTTAAATAGGTTGCCTGTTAATACAGTGGTGGAGCTAGGATTTAAGATCAGACAGTCTGACATCAGATGCCAACATGCTGGGTTATACAATCACATTATAAGGCCATAATTTTTGTGATCTTATTAACCAGCTAACTGGSTAATTTATAGTCTCACCCCTTTAAGATTACTCAGCCCTGCAAATCTAATTAGTCTGTTCACACCTGAATTAACAGTTGCTGAAGGCCAGCACTGTAACTAATACATAATTCCAATTGTGTTAATGAGACTAATTCAGTAGCAAGTACAGCTATTGTCAGAACATAGAATATTAGTAAAAAATTTAAATTAGTTTTATTTTTATACTTCTTTCTGATGATACTGGGGATTCATCCCAGGGTCTTGTGTATGCCAGGCAAATGCTTTGCTGCTGAGCTTATACCCTCAGCTCCCAAACTAGTATTATTCTTAATTGACTGGACTTACTTCTCCCCAAGATGGCTACATATAAAGATGGCTATTCTGAAACATGACAGTATCACAGTAAATTAGTTGTGGTTCTGACTCAGCGAGACCATTCTTTAATGAGCTTTTTTCTCTTTGGATTTTTTAGTTCCTTCGTCATTTATGGAGTGAATCAGAGCCCAAATAGTTAAATAGCTTTTAAAGTAAATTAAACCTGCCATGACCAAAACATCTCCCTCCCCAAAACAGTAGGTTTAACAATGCATTTTATTCTAGAACATTTATTGTTAGTCAAAATAACTGTATAATCATAGAAGGCATAACTGAAATTACTTGGTCAGTATCAGGGTTTTTTAAATTTTTAATTGATCTGGAATTTAGTAGTTATTATCAGTTAGCTTTTGTTGTATAACAAACTACGCTAAGACTTAGTGGCTTAAAATAACAGCCATTTACTTATCTCCTGATTCTCTTGGTCACTTCAATGGTTCTTCATGTCTGGGCCAACTTAGCTGATCGCTGCTGAGCTTGCTCATATGGGTAGCCGTGTGGCTGGTCAGCTGATGGCAGGATGATCTGAAATGGCCTCACTCATATATCTGTTTCTTGTTGTGGGGTCAGGGTGTCAACTGTCCCTAATCATCATCCAGCTTGCTAGCTTGGTTTTTTCGTGTTCACATGCTGCTGCTGATGGAAACCAGGGCCTTGTGTGTGCTAGCAAGCTCTGAGCTACACACACCCTCTACCCACACTTGGGCTTCTTAATATGATGGTGGGTTGCAGGGTTCCCAGCAACAAGGGAGCAGGCCCATCATGCTTTCAATCATGATGTCCTATTGGCCATCACTGGTGTGGTGGAGAAATAGATGCCATCTCCTAACTGTAGGATCTGTAGTGTCATGTTGCAAAACCATGGATGTAGAGAGATTAAGAATTTGTGATTATTTACCTCACTAGTAGTTGGAATTAACCACAGATAGCTTTTTAGATTGTTTTTTAAAATGTCTGATTTGAGGAAAGTTTCTCTTTAATATGAGGAATTGTCAAGTGTTGCTAAAACTAAGAATATACTTTTGTGAAAGGGGAGAAATGTGTTTTAAAATTTGGTTTACTTTTCTCATTTGGATCATTTATTTATGTTAAAAGAGCTTTCATAATTTTGACGTCTTTCTGAAAAGGAGTACTACACTGGTGTTTGGCATTTGTTAATTTATTTTCTCCTAAACTTTGGTTAGAATAGCTCTCAGGTTGTCTTCTCAGAGAGGAAGGGTCCTCTAGAGGTTCACTGCCTCTTCTTCACATGAAGTAGCAAAATTTCACAAATACTTTGAAAGTTCTTTGCTAGGCTTTTAAATTTTTAGAAAAGAATAAAATTTGAAATAAGATAAGTGGTAGAGAGAAATGGTTAATGGCTAGTGGTGAGAGCTTTGGAATTAGGATTTCTTAATTTGTTTATCAAGTCAAGTTTATTTTTTAGTTACTTTATGCATACATTTATTCATTAAATATATACCAAAATGCATACTTTTATTCATTAAATATATACCAAATGCTTATTATCTTGTAGGAATTTTTCTAAGCTTTGGGAATATAGCAGCAATTAGACTCAGCAGCTTAGTACTTGGAACCCAGTACTAGTTTTTCTCTAAAACTCACATTCCTTATCTGTAAAATGAGGATACTAACATTGAGGGGATTAAGAGATTATCAAAAGTATATCTTGAACTGTTAAGCGCACAGTAACTATTCAGTAAAGGTTTGTTATTACTGTTGTCATCTGAGCATCTCGACCAGTCTGTGCCACCGCAATTCTACTGTGCATTCAATTCACCTGGGAATCTTGATAGCCTGCAGTGTGGGCTATCAAGTTTAGTATGTGTAGTGTCACTGATGCTAGCTTGACCTGTGAAGAATGTAAGTCTGCCTTTCTCACAAGCACTCAGGTAATCCTGATACTCTCGCTTTGAAGACTGTATTTTGAGTAGCAAGGCTCTGGTGCATGGTCCTTGCTTGGATCAAAATAGGTTTTAAATATATAGCCTTTTTGATAGTGACGTTTATACTTTGAGAGTAATTTGGTGCCAAGAAATATTTGTTTCCAAAGTGTGGAAATCCCTGGATGGTAAATTATGTTCCATTTGAAGTATAGTAAGTRTCAATTTATGAGATGTTCCCACCCCTTTTATCTCCTCAAGCAGATTGATAGCCAAGACTTGGGGCATCATTGATTTTCCCCATGTGGGACATAGTAATAGAGAAATGTCTTAACATTCTTAGACTCAGTATGATGGATGGTACATTGTGACACTTGAATTGTTCTTTTTTGGTCACACACATCTGCTTTCGAAGATGAGACTGAAAATCTTTATTAGGATTTATAAACATCTTGGAAATGATGTAATGCAGCTATGTTTTACTGTAGGGAATGTGGAATAAGCATCTAAAGAGAAAAATGTTTGGCACAAGTAGTACAAATCATCTAGCAAGTAGAATGTTCATATAAGAATGTAATGTAGCAATTTGTTTTTCTGTAATAATTTTTAAAACATCAAGTTTATTTTCAATATGTGACTCTAAAGATACTTTCTTGGCAAAGTAATAAAGCTGCAACAACAACTAATTGAATTAGAGTCTAAAACTATATCCAGTGGGAAATGATTTAAGCTTTCAAACTCTTTTCTCTTTAAGGAACTGGCTTACCGAAAGGAGATAATTAGAGCTGATCTTATTAACAAGAAAGTTGGAATCAGGTATGTTTTAAAAACTTCATTTACTTATTGTTGGAGAAAGCTTTGGAATTAGGCTCTCTCAATTTGTTTATCAAGTCATTAATTTATTCCTTTGTTACTTCATGTGTAACATGTACAAACTTCATACAAGGCTATTTAATTTTTCCTGAAAGAATGCTTGGAGAGGATTTTGATATTGTTCAGAGTAAGTTAAAAAATGCCATGGCATCAGTTAGGATGTCTAATGTCTAATAGGATTCAAAAAGAAAGTCATGGTTTCAGGTAGTAGCATTATCTTAAATCAAAATGTAAACATGTTTTACATAATCCAGAAAAGTTTATGGTTTGTACATTCCTTTTTCAGAGAAACTCCGGAAAATCTTGCCAAGCTCCTGACCAGGATGTATTTAAAGTCAGAAGTCATAGGTGATGGGAATCAGATTGAGATTGAAATCCCTCCAACCAGAGCTGACATTATCCATGCGTGTGATATTGTAGAAGATGCAGCTATTGCTTATGGATATAACAACATTCAGATGACTCTCCCGAAAACATACACCATAGCTAATCAAGTAAGATTGCACCCTTAAATAAACACTCCTTATTGTTAGAAACTGATTATTGAATGCCAGGAAGGCTTTGAGAAAAACAGAACATAAGAATTAAGCAGTATTTGGACATGCTTTGCTATGAGAAGCATTTGCTATGGAAAGGATACAAAACAGATGCCCAAATGATTAGAGTAAGTTGAAAACCTGTGATGACYAGTTCTTTAAAGAAAGACAGGTTTTGAGAATACAGCCCTTGTTGAATCAGACTAGGAAATTCATTTTCTCAATGTGGGCCTGAAGGCAGAATTGTGTGTGGGAGATGTGGGGGTGGGGACAGGGTGTAATCTATATAGATAGTGGGGTATTAATGTGTGTGGGGATAGAGTGAGGGTTGTTTGCTTTTAATGACATGTTCAATATAAATGCAGTATTTTAAAAATGGAGATATTACTGAGGTGAAATAAAGTGAATTTTTTTCTAGTTTCCTCTTAATAAGCTCACTGAACTTCTCAGACATGACATGGCAGCAGCTGGATTCACTGAAGCACTTACCTTTGCTCTGGTATGTCTTAAAATGTGCCCTTTCTGCTCAGCTGATTTTTTTATTTTGACTAAATTATTTGTTCTGTGATTCTGTAAATGTGTTTTTAAATCTAGACTGCTAAAATTTCCAGACTATAAAAGAATACCTTTGTTACTAGAGATTGAACAGTTAAAAGAATGTTGAGAGGTTTCTGTATATAATCATAGGAAAAACATAAAAGTCTAGAAATATTGCCTTAAGTGACAGATGACAAAATATTTTATAGTTTCATGTAAGTGTTGAGGGTTCATAATGAATTGTATAACCAAATTTATGAAGTTAGAATATTTGGTCTTAATTTGGTTGTGGCTGTGCCCACTAGATGCCGCCCTGGTTAAGAGCTTGTGGACTGTTCTACATTAAACTTATTTCTTTGTCTTTGAACATGTTCACAAACATTTGCTTTGAGTTGAAAAGCTGACATAAAAGGCCTAAATCAGGAAATGAATTTTATTACAAAATCAGAAGGAAATCTCCCTCCCTTACCAGATTGACCATTTAAAAGAATAAAATATGTATGCAATTTGTAGGCTTTTTTCCTGTTGCTGAGTATTTCTGTGGTACCTGTGGTGGAGTTTTTGAGCATTCAAGTTTCAGTTTAACCTTAGGGAGGAGCTACTTCTTGCTCCCCAACTCAGTCCCAGCCCTGAAATTCTCAGTCTTTTAGAGTATTTCAGAGACTGTCTAGATTTTCTAGTTTAGGCCTTGATTTTTCTGAGTCAGTAGTCACTCCTTCAATAGTTGTTGAACATGTGTCATGTGCTAGGCATTATGCCAGCAAGGAAGCCTGAAACTGAAAGAGGACCTAAGTACCTAACACATTTTCCACAACAGCACCACCGTGACTAYAGTCCTGGCCTTTGGATTCCTAGAGCCATTACCACTGTCTCCTTCTGTGTACACTACTTTTTATAGCAGGCACCATGCCATTCAAATCAGGCACACACATGTTCTAGTCATGAGCATCTACAATTTTATGTAAAGGGAAATATAAAATATAACACTGAGAAGTGTACTTTTTATTTTTTWAAAAGTTTTTTAAATATTTATTTTTTAGTTATAGTTGGACACAATACCTTTATTTCACTTATTTAGTTTTATGTGGTGCTAAGGATCAAACCCAGGGCCTCGTGTGTTCGAGGCAAGCGCTCTACTGCTGAGCCACAACCCCAGCCCCATATTTTAAAAAAAAATTTTAATTTGTTCTTTTTAGTTATACATGAAAGTAGAATATATTTTGATATATATACATGGAGTATAACTTCCCATTCTTGTGGTTGTACATGATGTGGAGTTACATTGGTCATGTGCTCATATATGAACATAGGAAAGTTATGTCTGATTCATTCTCCTGTCTTTCCTGTTCCCATCCTCCTCCCTTCCTTTCATTCCCCTTTGTCTAATTCAGTGAACTTTTATTCTTCCCTTCTCCCCATTTTTTTAATATGCAAGTGGCATAGGAATCAACAAATTCTCTTATTGATGGATTTGGACTTCACAGATCCCATTGAGTAAACCATGACAGTTCCCCTCCCTATTTTTAATCCTGTTTTCCTTCCCAGATCTAATTGCTGTTAAAATTCTGGCATTAGTTTTCCCTGCCCTTCTATGTTAGTGGTGCATTCTGATGTAACTATGTAGCTTAGAGTATCTTTGGAAGAACACATAAGCTGAGTTCCACGAGTAACTGCAGGGAATGTTTACCCTRTGCTAAGGCTTTATGTACAAAATTCCGTTTCTTCTCTCTCAGCCTTGTGTAGTAGGCCTTTCTGTCTTCCACAGTGCTTAATTTGAGAGTCACTCATCCCACTCCCTGTTGTCAGTTGACTGTGGACCAGATTCCAGCCCAGGCCTGTTTTTTCATCCAAAGCTAGTGACTGAATTGTCATACTAGAGACACTTGTCATATTAGCCTGTTTGGTTGTCCAGAGTCACTTTTTAATACATTTGTTGTTTGTCACGGGAGGAAAAGAGAGGTGCTAGAGTGTTTCAGATTTCAAATAACAGTTTTCCTGTAGGATTTTCACCATTGGAGTTCAGTGTTTGAAAAGTTACACATTTTATAAGGAAACCTAAACATCACTGAGTTAAGATGGCCTGTATTGTTACATACGGTTTAATACAAGAGTGACAGTCATTCTTTTTTTTTGCGAGGGAGGGGGTTACCAGGGATCGAACTTGAACATTTGACCACTGAGCCACATTCCCAGCCCTATTTTGTATTTTATTTARAGACAGGGTCTCACCAAGTTGCTTACTGCCTCACTTTTTGCTGAGGTTGGCTTTGAACACATGATCTTCCTTCCTCAGCCTCCTGAGCCACTGGGATTACAGTGTGCATCACTGCACCTGGCCCATGACCATTGTTCTATTCCTTGAGTACCCAAGTRTAGTAAGCAGTTCATATCCCATCATTATGATTTTTGCTATATCTGCATACTGGTAGTAATGTTTTTCTTTTAAGATTGGCTCAGTTTTAAAACTAAATATCCACTTAACATTTTCTACCTCTGCAGCCTAAGCAGATCAGGGAGTTCTTCTTTGCTAGGCTTGGACATGGCTTTGGGATCTCTCCCAAGAGAGCATGATAGGAATCACTAGAGCTGGCTTTGGCATTAAATGAATTCTTTTTACCATGTCAGTTTTTCTACCTCCCCCCCTTATTTTGAGGGATATACATGCCAATTATTCCTTGAAAACTGTTTTGTAGAGCAGTACAATGGGCGATCGTTTACTCTCTGCCAGGCAGTGAGAATGCATTATCTTCTTATCTCATTTATTATTGGGCTTGATGTGTCTTAATAGTTGGTTTTATTTTCATAACTTTTGCCTGCTGTCTTGGTTTCTAAGGTGGACAAACCTTTTCTTTTCTTTTCTTTTTATGCAAGGGTACTTAGCAATTTGCTACCATGAGCTTTATCAAGCAGGTGCAGGGAAATTAAATGATAGAAAAACTTTGGGCAGAATTCAGGCCACTTGAATTCTTTCCAGTTCTACCATTCTGTACATAGAGTGGATTTAGCAAGATTTACATTCATTGCTAGTCAAAACAGAAAGTCATAGGAAATTCCAAGGAGGCAGAGAGAATTTCTGATTGGAATCATTAGGGACATTTTTGTGGAAGAAGTGGAAAAGAGGTCATTTAAATAGAGCTTCAGGGAATGGCTGCATGTGGGGATGGGAGGCATTTCAAGTAAAGGCAGGGAAAAGTATAAGGTTCAGGAGGGTAGGGACCAGGGAATTAGGAGATTAGAAAGATAAATGGGAGRCTAGCTTAGCAAGGACCTGGGTATAGGTTTTACTACCATCTCCACTTGAAAAATTTACTTTAGCTGCATATCCTGGCTAGAACTCATCATAACAGAATTATTAATGTTAAATTATATATTCTTTGGTCCTGAAATTGATGAATTAATTACTAAAACTTACATATAGAGAATATAAATTGCTGAGACCATTGCAGGTTGACTGATAGCATTCCTTTTTAAGTTACATTTATTCATTTTCCATACTAATGTATTTTTGTGTGTGTGTGTGTGTGCTTTTTAGTGCTCCCAAGAAGATATTGCTGATAAACTTGGTTTGGATATCTCTGCAACAAAGGCAGTCCACATAAGTAACCCTAAAACAGCTGAGTTTCAGGTAAAATTTTAAGTATGTAAGAATTTGTGTAAGAACTGAGAATTAGTACATTATTTAGAAAAATTCCTTGGTTATTATGCCTCCAGTGGTGAAATCAGAATTTTTTAATAGTCTCTTCTTAGATAAGTTTATAGTTGATTCTTACATGCGTTGCGAATCAAAATTCTTAACATATGTGTATGTGGTGGGATCAAACCCAGGTATTTACACATACTAAACAGATGCTCTACCACAGAGCTACCAGTACCTAAATTTCTTAAACTTTCTTTATATTTCCATATATATATATATATATATATATTTTTTTTTTTAAGGTTCTGGGGCCTTATGTAAGTCAAACAAGTCCTTTACCACTGAGCTACATCCCCAACCCTAACACTTCTAATCTTTTTTTTTTTTTTTTTAAAGAGAGAGTGAGAGAGGGGAGAGAGAGAGAGAGAGAGAGAGAGAGAGAGAGAGAGAGAGAGAGAGAGAATGAGAATTTTTAATATTTATTTTTTAGTTCTCGGCAGACACAACATCTTTGTTGGTATGTGGTGCTGAGGATCGAACCCGGGTCGCACGCATGCCAGGCGAGCGCGCTACCGCTTGAGCCACATCCCCAGCCCACTTCTAATCTTTTGATTATAGTTTTTGCATTTTTTTTTTTTAACAGATCTGGTTCAGTTTCTCTTAACTGAAATTTCCATTTTATAATTGATATTTTGTATACTCTTGTCAGATTTTCATCTCTTTTCCATATATCTGTGATAAATGAATCAACACCAGTTATCTAATACCTCCATAAGTCATTCACTTTGAAATTAGCTATTAAATCAGTTCTTGACTGTGCTGCTTTGTTTTTCATTGTAGTTGCCTTATTGGCAGTTTCATACAGAGTTTAAGAATATTTAAATGAGAATAATACTACTTTAATAGAGAATGTTAAGTGATTTATATTATAGTTTGGGATATTAACTATTAAAAGGGAATTTCAAGGTTATAATGTCTTTGCTTATTAAGTTTCAATAGTCCCTATCTCTTTCATATCAAGGTACTCTCACCTCATTTTTCTTTTATATTTTTTTTAACCCAGGCTTCTAGAATTAAGAGGAATGTTAGAACTAGAAGGATCTGCTTTTAAGAAAGTTAATGCTATCATAAATAATATATGAACTCTTTGATTTTTAGTTAGTTTCTTTGGACCTTGATTTTCTTTTTCTTTCTKTTTTAAATACTTTTAGTTGTAGATGAACACAATGCCTTTATTTCATTTTTTTATGTGATGCTGAGGATTGAACCCAGTACCCCATGTGCTAGACAAGCACTCTACCACTGAGCCACAACAGCCACAACCTGAGCTCAGGCTTTAGTTTACATTTATGTAAAAGTAGGGCATTGGGTTAGTTTAAAAATTCCACATTTTGGGACTAAAAATATAGCTCAGTTGGTAGAGTACCTACCTTGCATGCACAAGGCCTTTGGTTTAATCCCTAGCACCACAAAAAAAAAAAAAAAATCCACATTTTATGTATACAACTATATACTAATGTGGCAAATTAGACTAATATTTGCATAGAATGATTTTTCAGTAAATCTTAAGTACATTTTTATTATTATTTGCTTATTTCAAATGTGAACCCCCCCTGCTATACACACACTCTTTTCATTTGTCAGGCATAATAGATTTCTTGAGATGTGGTAACTGCTATGGTTTTTAGGATTTATATTCTGGCTTATCTATTTTATGTAAGTGGAGGGAAACTAATCATCAGTGTACTGTCTCACTACAAATAGTTGTGGTTTAGCTTAAGAGGCACCATTTTGGCATAGAATACATTAGAGATGACTAGAGATGAGATTATCTTTTAGATTTGACAGATATCTATATTTTACCTCTGCTTTGCCAGCATATATATTCTACCACTTCTAGTATGGCTAATAGGTTTACATTTATTTTTAGTTAAATTAAATGGAAAATTGTTCATGGTCTTATACAGAATTTTCCTGCATTATTCTAAACCTTGGATTTATTTCTCATAATAGATATTGTTAAAAAAAAGGACAAGAAAAATATTATTTAGGTAAAATATGTAAAATTTCATTCTAATCATTGTAAATAAAATTATAGAATATTATTTCTCTTCCCCCCAAATTAATTTGTATCCTGAAATGTCCATTTCCTGTTGAAGTATTCCCAGTCATCTTTTTTTTTTTTTTTTTTTTTTTTTTTGAGTTTGAGTTGGTATTCAAATGAGGTTTATGCATCAAGTTAGATTGATGTGCTTCTCAAGTCTTATTCTGCAGGTTGCCCATCCACTTTTTTTTTTCTTCCTGAAGCCCGCCCTTTCAGTTTGTTGAAGAAACTGGGTCCTTTGGCTTGTAGAATTCCCACATTTAGGATTTTGCTGAATATATTCTAGTGGTTCCTGTATTTTCTGTAAACTGGTAGTTAACTCTGGAAGCTTGATTCGATTCAGCTTAATTTTTTTTTTAAAGAGAGAGAGAGAGAATTTTAATATTTATTTTTTAGTTTTCGGTGGACACAACATCTTTGTATGTGGTGCTGAGGATCGAACCTGGGCCGCATGCATGCCAGGCGAGCGCGCTACTGCTTGCTTGAGCCACATCCCCAGCCCCAACTTAATTTTTTTGTATTGCTGTTTTTAACTAAGCACATAGGTCTACTATGAAGTAAACTAAAATTTAAGAAAAGCTGTCTCAAAAGTTGCTTGTCTAGCTGGGCATGGTGGCAAGTATCTGTAATCCCAGGTGTTTGGGAGGCTGAGGTAGGAAGATCATAGGTTCAAGGCCAGCCTAGGCAACGTAAACCCTGTCTCAAAATAAAATGAAAAGTAAAAATGGCCAGGGATGTAGCTCAGTGGTATAGTGCTTTCCTAGCATGTGGAAGGCACTAGGTTTGATCCCCGTTCCACAAAAAGAAAAAMAAAAAGTTTGTTTACATTCCAGTAAATTAAATTTCTTTTTCCTTCACATGGTAGTTCCCTCCTTACAAATTAGGTACTGTAAGAGATTAACAATAGCTAATAATAAAGTGGAGCAATTGTAACAGTGTACTGAAAATGAAGGTTATGTGTGAATGTATTTTGTTTCTCCCAAAATACCTAATTTTACTGTAGATCGTAGGCATCTCACCATACTGTATTTTTTTTTCTTAAATTAGAACTTTAATCTTTTCATTTAAAGGAAATACTTCACAGCTGTTCTTTACAATATCTGAATTGCCAGCATCAGTGTTCTTGCCTTTTGGGGCCACTATTAAATAAAATGAAGGTTTACCTAACATGCATACTGCCATAGGTAACCTGATAACTGAGCTAACTTCTCAGTGCCTGTTGGGCAGAGGGTTCTTACAGTGGGTACACTGGACAGGGAGCTGATTGGGAGCCCTCATTATGCTGCTCAGAATGATACTCAGTTTAAAACTTGCGTAGTATTGTCAAACCATAGTTGACCACAGTAWACTGAAACTATGGAAAATGAAACTTAGAATAAAGAGGCATACTGTAGTTTCATTTCTGTGAATGGTTTGGACACTTTTTCCTCATTGTTAAGGTTTACAGTACTTATAAAAGACCAAGCTGAAGGCTAATCACAGTTTACTGGTAGAATGATAAGAAAGGTGTTCTTTTCTTCCTTCAGCACAGGATCCAGCAAATCCCCTTAGGGATTTCTGTTACTTGTGTAGAATCTAACAAGCCTACACAGTTTTAGTTGGAATATCAGAGGAAACCTCTGTAGGAGAGAACGTTTGAGCAGAGGTGTGAAGGAAGTGAGATAGCCATTTGTCAATCTGGAGGAAGACCACATGAAGCAGAGGAAAGAGCAAGGGCTGAAGCCCCACAATGGGAGACCAGCTTACGGACCTGTGCAGTACCCAGTGTGGCTGGAGTGCTGTAAGCTAGGAAGAGCAGAAGCAGTTGCGGTTAGGGAGGGAGCCAAGGTCAGATCCTATAGGGCCCCATGTAGGACATATATTTTTTTTTTCAAAATTTAATGGAAAGCTGTTGATAGTTTTTGAGGGGGGAGTTATATGATTGAATTAAGTATTGAAGGACTGTGACGATTGGACCATAAGATGGACAGAAGTAGCCTAAGAAGCTCATGACATAGTTTTGGGCAAAACAGTGGTGCTTGCCATGTGCAGTGGTACTCGCTTATAATCCCAGTGATTCAGGAATGCTGAGGCATTGCAAGTTCAAGGTGAGCCTCAGCAACTTAGCAAGACCCTGAGAAGCTTAGTGAGACCCAGTCTCAAAATAAAAAAATTCAAAGGGTTGGGGATGTGGTTTGGTGGTAAAGTGCCCTGGGGTTCAATGCCCAGTACTCTGCTCCCCACCCCCCAAAAAACCAGTTGTGTTAGTAGGAATATGTAACAACAAATCCTACTGTTACATATAGTATACTACAATAATAAAAAGGGAAGAAAAAAATAATGTTGCTTAGAGGCTGCTGTAGAGTATAGCAATAATGTCATATCACTGCTCATAAAACCCATCTATTAACATATGTTGAAATAAAGTGAGAAATTTATCTCAGACAAAAGGAGTGAAGTTTTGCTTTTTTTTTTTTTTTTTAAGAACTGGGATATGCATTTCTTTGACTGGTAAGAATAAAATGACTATAAATATTTTCTTATTTGCTTTAGTGAATAAAAACCAAGAACTACATCACAGCCTGCCCATTGGCAGCTATATAATTTTTTAATGACTACATATTTATATTATATTTTCCTTCTTGTCCTGGTATTTTAATTGCATGTACGTTTTCCCTGGTCCTGGTTTTTAAAACTTTGATTAATTCATGTTTAATTCACTTAATTATTGATATTTCTTGTCATCTACTTCATTTACTTCTGAAATGGGGCAGGATATGAAAATTTACATATTTGAAATCTTGAAAGCCAGCTTTCATTTTAAAAATGATAATGGAATAAAATAACTAATCCTTAGGTGAGAGCAGTCATATTTTTAGTTAGTCTTGTGTGTCACTTATTTTTTTAATCAATTTATTATTTTTTGTTTTATAAATTTGGAATTGAGAATATTTTCAGTTCTTTTAGTGACCTGGAATTTAAAATTAACTTAAAATTTTAGGCATTGCATTTTTCAGAAGTATGGTCTTCAGAAGCCATGGATTCAGTGCTTTGTCTTTAACAGGTCTGCCTGTTTGGGTTCTATTTGTTTAGTGCAATTTCGCATCTTTTCCTGTAGGTGGCACGCACTACCCTTCTTCCTGGCCTCTTAAAGACCATAGCAGCAAATCGGAAGATGCCTCTTCCTCTGAAACTGTTTGAAATCTCTGACATTGTAGTAAAAGATTCTAACAAAGGTAGGAATGAATCACTTTTGACTTGTTACTTTTAAAGCATTTTTTTATTATGAAAATTTCAGTTCTATGTAAAAGTAGAGAATATGGTATAATTATCCTGTGAATCTATCATATATCTTGTAACAGCTAACAACACATCTTTCATCCATATCCTTGCCAATCACCATATATATGTATATATATATTTTTAGTTGCAATGCTGAGGATAAACCCAGAGCTTTGTGCTTCTAGGCAAACACTCTACCACTGAGCTATAGCCCCAGCTATCCCTCACCTTTTGTGTGTGTGTGTCACAGGATCTTGGCTAAGTTGCTGAGACTGGCCTTAAATTTGTGGTCCTCTYGCCTAACCTCCCAAGTTAATAACAGGGGTGTGCCACTGCACCTGGCTTCCACATTATTTTAATGTGAATCATTTCATCAGCAAATACTTTAATTCATATTTCTGAAAGATAAGGACCATCACTTTTGTTTGTTTTTTAATAACCCAACAATACTATCACACTTTACGGTCAAATTTCCTAGTGTTTAAATTTTCCCAATTGTTCCATAGATTTATTTTTGAATCAGAATCTTATCAGTGACCAAATATTTAMTTACTATGTCTCTTATTTGTTTGAATGGAAAACACATTTTAATAATGTCTATGAAGAGCCCTATTAAAACCTCAACTAACACCATGAAGGCTCAGTGGTAGAGGTGCTAAGCACATTCTTACATGTGTGACGCCCCCTGGGTTTGATCCCTTGCACTGCAATAAATAAATATAAAAAATGGAAAAGAAAAACACTGAAATATTTTTATTATATCACATAATTTACATACATATCATTTTAATGTACTTGATATCTTGTCATTTTAGTTTAGCAGTAATTGCTTAGTTGTACCAGTGATTTTTTTAGCATGTTTATCATATTTGTCCTTTTTGAGTATGGTTTAGGCTTTGAGTATAGCAAGTTTCTTGATCCATCACTTGGAGTAACAGTGGTTATTTAATACACATGTCATAAATTTACTAAGTATCTAAACTTGATTGTCAAAGAAGTCTGTCTCAAAATCCATGTCTCCAGTCTCTGATGCAAGTCTGACTGGAGCACTGTGCAGTGGTCCCTTGGTGAGTAGTGTCTCAAATGACTGCATTGCTGGCAGATTCCTGGGTTCCCTGAATTTTATACATCAAATGCTAACAGCATTTTTTCAGTGGTTCTTACTCCAAACTCTGCAAGATTCGGAGTGTTTTCTTTTGAATTAGTTAACAGAAGCAAAGATCTTTTTCTCTTTTTTTTTTTTTTTTAAGATTCTAGTAGGCATCATTCTTAACTATCAAGTTCATCTTGGAAACTGATGTTCTGGAGGTATGAACTCCTTGATTTTCACATGGAGACTCTCCCTAAAAAACTTTTTTCATCCATCCAAGATTCAGTTCTGTCTGTTTTCCAACATTGTTCCATTTAACAAATTGGAAAATTCAGACAACAAAACTGGTAATTTGCCCAGGGCTTTATAAAATATTGGACTTCGAGATGGGGCCAGAATTTAGGTCTTAGTGGACATATCCTTAGAGAATAAATGTTCGTTTTAATATCAGTTTATGTAAAATTTTCTTTGGGTAATAAATAGATTTGGAAAACATTTTTAGTGCCAGCTGAAGAAAGTTTTGAGGATTCTTGTGACKTAAATTCTCCATTAGTACAGATAGCTGGAAATTTGTTAATAAAATTGCAATGTCACATTTATCTGTTTACTTTGACTTTTTTTTTTCCAACTTAGTTCTTTGAGTTTTATGTTGTCTTGTTCTTTGATGATCTTTTTGTTTATAAATTTAAAATTAGGTTAATTAYACAAGATTTCCTCATAAGCTTTGTAATACTCTTTCAGCAATGGTCCTTCTCTAATTGCCAGGCTCCCTAAGGGCTCTGCAGAGCTGGGCATGTTCACAACTAGGTAGCTCAGAGTGAAGATGAGGGCAAGGAGCAAGCTGGGGTCCCACAGTTGCTTTGAAGAAGGTTTGGGTGTAAGCTTCACTGTGTTACCATTCTGTGTAGAAACAAAGATTAGTTGTTTTTCTTTTAATCTCTGTGTTGGAAATACACAGGCATAGACCTCTCTGCTTCTCATTCTGGCTTCAGTGCCCAAGTTTTGAGAAACTCCCCTGAAAAGAGATTGGTCACAAGTGCTAGAGCTGTCTCTCATTTTTTTTTTTTTTTAAACAATTCACCTAGTGATTACCCCCCAAACCCAGTTCTTATTATTTTTATTTGAAAGWTTTTCACTTTTGTTGTAATCTGTTCCACCATGGAGAATAGTTCTTGTCTTGTTTGTACCTTTTTTTAGTTGAAATTATTCTGTTCTATTTTATACATTGATTTAATTTCTGATTCTAGTTTTGCCCATTGTCTCACACTGGTTTATTCATTTTCTTTAATATTTTCTATCTTATCGATAGGATTTGAAAAATGAAGGGAGGTAAATGCACTCAGTATATCTTCCATCTTGAAAACATTGGTTTAATGTATTTGGAGTATGTTTTGTGTTTAGGTGGGCCTGGATTTTATTTCATAACAAAAGAAGCCTTTCTGATGGAATATTCTAAATATGTACATGTGGGTTCCTGCCTGTCATATGGTGTACATAGAGGACTCTGTAGGAGAGGCAACACGGCATCACGGTTCTGCAGACACTATAGCCACAGTGCTTGGCATTTCAGTCATGGTTCTCATTTACCAGCCGCTTCTCTTTAGGCAGTTTATTTAGTCTCCTGTGGCTCAGTTTCTTCACCTGTACAATGGGGATAATGATAACACTTACTTTGTTTAAAAGGATTAAGTGAAATTAACATTTGGAAAGTTCCAGCTACAAAGAATGCAATATTCAGTGTTGCTCTAATTAGGGTTTTAATAGTCCTGATGGCAAATTAACTAGCTTCCTGATCTTTGGGAATTTTTTAGAATGGGTAAAAAAGCCTCAGCTATCTCCAAAAGATTAACGTTGCCTAGCWGAGGCATTGGGGCAGGTTTTTATCTTAACCTTAGACTTAATTGGTTTTTCTTCTGTCATGTTCTTTTCTTTGTAGGATGAGAAACAAAGACATACTAATGTAGGAATTTACTTAAGAAAACAGGAATGTTATTTTTGAAGGAATTTGTTACCTCCTATTTTTCAATGAATTGACACACACGTTTTTTACTGCCTATCAAATCAGTAACCTCTTATCTGTTGGGTTTACCTTAGCCATCTCATCCTAAATAATTAAATTTTTTGAAGAAAAGGTTCTAATTAATCAGAAGTTAAAAGAGGAGTTTTCCAATTAACACAAAAATGTCCCCAAAATCTTAATGATGGAAGTAGTTCCCTAAACAACAGGTTCAAAGAGGTTGGAGATGTTTGGCAATTATGAGCTACTCTCATCCAGCACATTAGTAGAAAGTATTTTTGAGTTCTTTTTCATTTTTAGGGGTTGCTTTAGAGGATAAGAGAAAGTTTCCAGTCTTGAAAGACACAGATTTGTGAGTAGATTCTTTGAGATCATAATCAGAGAGAATGTCCAAAGTGCCCTGGGAATGCAGAGAAGGGAGTGATAATGGTTATTGACTTTTTTCAAAATGTTAAGAAAAACCAACACCCCTAGCCTCATATCAATTTCAGGTCTGCAAGCATATCTTCCAAAATAGAATGAAAATGGAATCTACTGGATTTCAACATGACTCACACCATTCTATCTGACCTGCATTTCTGTAGGAATGGCTACTCTACTAGCTCCTAATTTTCATGTTTGACATAACTGGACATTTCTTATTCTAGTGTGTACTCTCTTGACTGACCATCCATGTTGAGTGAGACTGTTAGTCTGCCAATTTAGAGGCTGATTCAGGCATACTTTACACTCAGTAAATCTTCTCTAAACCAGATAGGTTCAGGTTCTTTGAGGGTGCGCCAGTTACTGCATTTATTAAGTCTCAAGATCTGAAGTTGCTGCAACATTTTTAAAAAATAGTTATGACTCAAGGGAGTAAGCTGATTTATCCCCGTGGTTGGGCAAAGTGGTATGTGTTTTTGGAACGAGAAGTTGAATGTTGATTCTGCCTGGGGTAAATTTTTCAGCTTTATAACAGGGAATTCAGCAGAGGAGCATTGAAGCTGCCATATCAGGCTGCTGTGTGAGTTAATGGTTGGTTTCAGTAGATGATACTTTTGCTCTTTTTGTTCAGTGTCAAGAATAACTAAACTCTGCACTGAATARTAAGAATCAACTGTAGGAGGGCAAAGAACCTAAATGTGAATTGCTGATCTTTCTGCTCAGACAAGTAGCAAAGCAAATATATTTTGTACAATCCAATATTCTGGCTTTAACATAGACTGAATTCTGTAATCACAATTTATTCCTCAGTGATCACTGAAGCTGCCAGTATGCCTACAATCTCACTGAAATGGCAAGAGAAGACATATCACTGGGTTGAGGGAGTTTTAGTTGAAAAGGAGAAAGAACCTAAGATGAATTATTTTGGCTTTGTAAAGTGTAGAGGAGGGTAATTTAGATAAGCAGGATACAAATATCCAGTTGTCTTTTTCTTTGTCCTGGGGATTGAACCCAGGGCGTTTAACCACTGAGTCACGTCCCCAGCCCTTTTTTTTTCCTGTGGTATGTCCCTATAGAGAACCTTCATCATCAAATTGCCATGCATTTTGGTTTCAACTGCATTTAAAATTCTTTGGATTTTAGTAGATGTTATAGTAAATGGAATAGATTGAAAGGCCTTTGACCACTGACTGGGCTGTAGTTATGAAGCAGGATTACTCTGTGCCTTCACTTCTTGCTCAGAACACTTCTATATTCTCCAGAGCATTTTAGCAGTCCTGGTTTAAACTGTGCTTTCCCACCCATCACTGTCTAGTTTCTAAAATCACACATTTCTTTCTGAAGTCTTTCTAAATGAGAGGTTGATCTACTTCTCCATACCCTACTTGTATGAAGATGGAAATTCAGAATTTTTAAAAAACTTT